AGAGTAACACTGCGGCCTCCACGGCAGGGTGGCCGAGCAGAAGGGGTCAGGAAGCCATTGGAGCTGTGAGCCCGGTTACAGAAGGATCTGGAGTCTTAGAGGAAGGTGTCACCTTTTCTGCAGCTACAGCCTATCATTGAATGAAGACTGCTTTAGTCACTCTAGTTCCCTCTATGCCTGCTCACTTTTCAGATCTCAGCGCAAGCACCAATGCCTTTGGCAGTTTGTTCATACTGATATGACAGCACTTGCGATACTCTGCAGTAATTTATCTGAGTGTAAATCTGTCTCCCTGAGAAAGAGTAAATTCCTAAAGAACAAGAATTGGGCCTCACTTGTCTCTGTATTTCCAGTAACTAACTTAGTACTTGGAGTATGTTACATGTACACATATAAAAATAATATATATAAATAGTTGTATATAGAAGACAGAAAAAGGAAGATGGCAAAGGTTTTACTTGGGAGTTTATAGAGTATGTATTAATTTACTCACAGCACCTGTTTTTTAGCGGGTGCTGGGACTCATTCCGAGTTCTTCTGACATTAATTCGAAGGCACTGGACCCCTGAGCAGAAGAAATCCTAGTACTACAAACTCTTGTACCCAGTACCTCTCCCCTCTGTCACGACTCCGTCCAAATACCGTATCCCTACTGCCCATGAATGGCATTCAATTACTTCCTATGCTTTTAGCCAACTGTGATCAGTGGGTATTTGCCTATGCCCCGTACATGGATTTATGGAAATTACCTAGTTTTAGCTAAACTAATCATTACAAAATAGGCAAGTGGCTAAAAAAGATTATTACAAAGATCCACAGACTAAAGGTAATGCTCAACTATACTAATTCTACTAATACCATGAAAATAGAAAAGTTGACATTTCTTCTCCTCCCAATATAAATTCATCATCAGCCACATTATGATTTCAAAACAATGACCGTCAATCATACGTTATCCAGCAGGTCCTTAGGAAACAATAAACACACTTACTCTGTATCTTCAAGGTAAAAGTGATGTTTTCATAATGAGAAAAAAAGTGATTGATTTCTAAACGAAAATAAAATAAGAAACTCAGATTTTTAAGACAACATTTTTAAAAGGGTGTTTGAAATGTTAGACAATTTGGGGACCTAAAAATGATCTTAGAGTATAAACTGTAACACTACTCATATGTATACACTTAAACTTCCTGACAGAATTTTCTAACTAGTTTTTAAAGATGCTAACTGAAGAATAACCAGATTATGAGCCCATATTTAAAAAATCTAAAAAAAAATGTAGCAGCTTTCAATTAGTTCACAAGACCTGATGGACACGATGAAGGATGAAAAGTTATTAGCTGGATTATACTTCTGAATATAATTGGTTAATAGGACTAAAAAAAATGAGTATTATGATTTAGTTAAGTTCAACTCACTTCTGCTGAGCTATCTTTTTCAGTTCTGATAACCATTAAATCTAAAACTAAGTATCAAAATACATTGAACTTATAATCAGCTTTTTGCGTTTCTATATTGTAGGCTGTGAAAGCAAAAATTGAAAAAAAAATAATAAAGAATTTCAATCACACTGCTCTCACCAAAAGTAAAATTATTAATGTGAAGTTTTCTATACCTTTTTAAAGTAAACAGCTTTCTACACCTTTTTAAAGTAAAATAAAAATATCTTCAGAATTTATTTTATTCTCACTTTTCTACTTTTATGTATATAATGTACATGACAAATTAGCAAAGCAGTAAATATATTTGTGATTTTAAAATAAAGACATACACATTATTGGGAATGCGTGTTCAAAAAAGTTTAGAGATTACCACTACAGGTACCAGGAAGCAGTTGAAAGATGTTAAGCCCAAGGAGTAAAATAAATCAGATTTGAATTTTAGAAACATAATGCTAGAGGTAATAGGCAAGGAAAAAGTGTTGGGAGGTGTAAGTGGATTCAAAAAGAAAACAAAACTCTGTTGCCATGCTCATAGCAGAGGGCATCCTATGAGCTCCCTGTATCTCTGGAACCTTTCACAGAACACATAAGCATGTTTTAAAAGAAGTCTTCTGCACAGCAAGGCCTCCTGCTCTGTGGTCTAACCCGGAAGGCAACGGGAGCCAAAGAAAAGGTGAGGTGGAGCTATGAGAAGCAACGGAGAACACGCTAGAAGGGCTGACTGCTGAAGTGCCTTATTATTTATCCATAGGCTAGGAATCAGGCTAGAAAAGGCTAAGCGCCTCTCTTTTCTGATATTCCCATTTATAATTTTTAAAAGACATAAAAGTTATTTTAAAAAGTAATTCGAGGGGCGCCTGGGTGGTGCAGTCGGTTAAGCGTCCGACTTCAGCCAGGTCACGATCTCGCGGTCCGTGAGTTCGAGCCCCGTGTCAGGCTCTGGGCTGATGGCTCAGAGCCTGGAGCCTGTTTCCCATTCTGTGTCTCCCTCTCTCTCTGCCCCTCCCCCGTTCATGCTCTGT